CCCCCCCCAAATTCTTGATTAATACACGCCCTATTTGGGCTCCGAATGATCTAGAGACATATAAGCTCGTTGTAGTGCCTTCTTCTCACGTCCATCTTGCTCAAGAGTGGTAACCCAGTCCCGGAGCTGGACCCCCTTGCCCTTATCTTGGTCTTCTCGCCATGTTCCCATACGTTTCACGCCGTCGACCGTGAATTTCTCAGGGCCTGGATTTGCAGCAGGAGTCCCGGGTGTTCCAGGAAGACCTTGCGTCGCGACGCGGCCCGGTGTACTTGTACCGCTTCCAGGGCCACCGCCTCCACCTGTCATCCAGCTATATTTCTTCTTCTTTCCAAAAAGACCCCCGCCGCCGCCGAGGAACGTGGCGGTGGTCACATTTGCAGCGGCGTGACTAGCTGCCTCGTTGGCCTTTGCTTGGGCTTTCTTGCCCTGTTCTTTCTTCGTCGGTCCCTTCTCAGGGGCTTCGGGTGCAACCGAACCAGGTGTAGCAGGTGCCACAGAGGTTTGACGAGGTGTACCGTCTCCTGGAGTACGGCCTACGCGTTTTCGTAGTCGTGATTCCTCAGAATCGCGCTCCTTCTGAGCCGTGCTCCGAAGAGCACTGGCGACCTCATTGGTGATCTTGGGGCCATCAGTTGGTGTCTTTGCTCCATCCGAGACAGGAGTGGGTATTGCTTTATTTGCCGATGAGAATGACCCTAAAAACCTTTAGCATTTCAATTAACAGAGTTAGGTAGCTTGTCATACGCTTTCGCGGATTAGAGTGCGGATTAATTGCACTCTCCCATCCAGCGCGAGGACCGCCTTCGGCCATAGCAGTAGAGGTGGCCGTATCAACTGGTTCTGCCACGTCCACCCAATCTTCGGGAATATGCCCATGAGATCCGGTCTGCCGCCCCTGTGCAAGCTTCGCCGCATCTTCCAATAAACTCCTCAAGCGGTACTTTGTTGCAAGCGACAATAGTGCAACTTGGTCGCAAAGTTGAGTGTCTGAAGGAAGAAACGTCCCACTTGTAGCTGTCAATGCGCCATTGGGACCTACACCAGTCTGAACCGCTACGTTAGAATTGCCCGGTAATATGAAGCTTCCCATTTTGCTGTTCTTGCCCTCATTTAATGCAACTCCATGCTCCGACGCTATCTTCTCTGCTCTCCTCTGCAGAGGGAATAGTTCTAGAAACGGTCTGTTTATTTCGCGCTCTCTTGAGACGGCAAGATTCCGGGCTGCGTCATGCCAGGCCTTATCTGCGGCTTTCTTGTGAAACTCATCTTGCGACGTTGCATTTGCGGCCTCAGCAGCTGCGTTCGCAGGGCCCGCGCCATAAAAGCTCGCCTGGTCTCCTGGAGGAAACTGAGTAAAGCTACGCCCAGAGGTGAAGGTTCCAGATCGTGAGCCGCTAACTTCATTATTAAATGAACTGTTGAACAAATATTGCTCTTCCTCTCTTATATCAATTCCAGTGCCACCCAATACATCCATCACGTCGGAATCCTCTTTCGACTTCTCAGCCGGCTTTGATGGAGGGCCCATCATCCCAGTACCTTGGGGTGCCATCGCGTAGTTGCTATAATATGGAGAATTGCCTTGACCCTGATTTGGGAAGGTAAGAGGATTCTGAGGCTGGTTTTGGACGGGAGGTTGAGACTGAGGAAGGCTAAGAGTGGGTGCGGTGAGTCCGTTCGAGTAAGGGGTATTGTAGACATTTGGTGGAAGCTGGACGTTTGAGAAGTGAGGAGACGCGCCAGCAGATGGAGGTCCCGATGCCCCAGGGCTCATGCCATACGGCGACTGGACATATGGCGAAGATGGCTGCGATGGTGGATTTGGAGATAATCGCTGCCGTTTCGATGGCGGGAAGGGAAACTGCTGGGGCGTCCCTGGGGACGCCGCGCTCTGCGGGGAGAAAGGGGTTTGAGGCATTGGATATTGCTGTTGCGGTTGCGCCATGATGATCGTCAGTCGTTGGTATCGTCGTGGGTTTCCTTGGTCTTAGTTGTCTTTGTCGTCAGTCACGGTTGGGTAATGAGTCTCGTCTCTTCTTTCACCACGCTCACAAGGCAGGCGCAGAGCCCACCGTCCTCCAAAAACGTTGACCCATGTGCGGGGCCGGTGGACAATAGTATGGATCTATTGATGCGACTGGTAGCCTTTCGAGCAGTAATCGAACAATAGCTTTGTGGGTCGGCGGGATGCTAATAGTGAATCTCCATCGCTTTCGGTCACCTGGAGTTGTGTCTTTCACGGAGTCGCGATGCCCGTTTCTTAGCTTAAATAGTCACGTGGTTCGGCGGCAATTTGGCCCCCTGTAGGCGGCTACTAGGGTCGCAGCTTCCTTGCGAACCTAAGTTGAAGTTGCGAAGCTCAAACCTCGCGGTCATAAATATACAATACTTCGTACTCCGTACATGTTGGCGTCTATCACGATTGAATATTCCTGGCGATAGCATTCGCACTACAGACAACCCAGATCGCTCTTACGCGTTTCCTAGCCCCGGAATGACAGCCTGCTGATACTGACCTTTCCCTGCCTTTGTGAGGCCAAGTGGAATCAACCATCACACCTTAGATAACACCTAGGATCATTTCTCAAGATGGCATCTAAGCGCAAAGCTGCTGCTATGGCTCCCGCAGATGAAGAGCCTGCTGACCCTGCCGACGAGCTAATGTTTCTGTGTCTTGGAGGAGGAAACGAGGTTGGCAGGTCTTGTCATATACTGCAGTACAAAGGCAAAACGGTCATGGTAGGTTCTGCGCCGCTGCTCTATTCGAGCCAACAACTAACAATATATTGTTTAGCTTGATGCTGGAATGCACCCGGGATACGAAGGCTTAGCAGGCCTACCTTTCTACGATGATTTTGACTTGAGCACAGTCGATGTGCTTTTAATCAGCCAGTAAGCGACTCTCAATTTTTGTCTTTGATCGGAGGGGAGGGCTTGGAATCACATATTGGATTCATATTCAGCAATTAAGCGTTTTCTGGTCGCGGGACATCTATCAGGCTTCGGACAGGTTTCGATCTTTGGAAATATACCATGTACACCAGAATCAATACAATACGTTTTCCCCGAAGATACTCACCCTTGAGCCTGTTTAGATGACCTGCACTTGAGCATACAGAATTGTACATATTTTACGCTGCGTTTCTATTGTTCTCTACGAGATTACACCCTTCGTCTTGGGAGCTATTGGCTAACTGCTTCGAGTTTCCACGTCGACCATGCAGCTTCGCTACCCTATGTGCTCGCGAAGACCAATTTCAAAGGCCGGGTGTTCATGACGCATCCAACCAAAGCCATTTACAAATGGCTCATCCAGGACAGTATTAGAGTTGGAGAAGCGTCTTCGAGCTCCCAGGCTGTTTACACCGAAGCAGACCATCTGTCAACATTCCCCCAGATCGAAGCTATTGACTATCATACCACCCATACTATATCTTCAATTCGAATCACACCCTATCCCGCTGGCCATGTTCTTGGTGCTGCTATGTTCCTTATCGAAATCGCCGGTCTTAAGATATTTTTCACTGGCGATTATTCTCGAGAAGATGATCGGCATCTTGTCTCCGCCGAGGTTCCAAAAGGCGTCAAAATAGATGTGTTGATTACAGAGTCAACTTACGGGATTGCCTCGCATATTCCCCGCTTAGAACGGGAGCAAGCACTCATGAAATCAATAACCGGTATCCTGAACCGAGGAGGTCGTGTTTTGATGCCGGTATTCGCTCTAGGGCGAGCGCAAGAACTCCTCTTGATTTTGGATGAATATTGGGGTCGCCATCAGGAATTCCAAAAGGTACCTATCTACTATGCCAGTAACTTGGCTCGTAAATGTATGCTTGTTTATCAGACATACATTGGAGCTATGAACGACAATATCAAACGACTCTTCCGAGAGCGAATGGCCGAAGCAGAAGCTTCAGCGGACACTGCCGGAAAAGGTGGTCCATGGGACTTCAAATATATTCGCTCATTAAAAAACCTGGATCGCTTTGATGATGTTGGGGCCTGTGTTATGTTGGCCAGTCCTGGAATGCTTCAGAATGGTGTTAGTAGAGAATTACTTGAACGTTGGGCACCAAGTGACAAAAATGGGGTCATCATAACCGGGTACAGTGTCGAGGGGACCATGGCAAAGCAGATCGTGCAGGAACCAGATCAAATTCCCGCTATCATGTCCCGCGGCAGTGGTGCAGCAAGACGAGGGCCCGGCGCTGGAGAAAATGATAAAGTTATGATACCAAGACGTTGTACTGTGCAAGAATACTCGTTTGCCGCCCATGTTGATGGTACAGAGAACAGAGAATTTATTGAGGAGGTTGCAGCTCCAGTAGTAGTAGGTCACTCGGCAGTCATCTTCTTTCATTTGCTAACGATGGATAGATTCTTGTGCATGGCGAACAGCATAATATGATGCGCTTGAAATCCAAGTTACTCTCTCTAAATGCCGATAAAACGGCGAAAGTCAAGGTATACAGCCCGCGAAATTGCGAAGAACTTCGTATTCCTTTCAAAGCAGATAAAATCGTCAAAGTCGTTGGGAAGCTTGCATCAATACCCCCACCTTCTGTAGACGAGAATCAACCACAGCTCATTACCGGAGTATTAGTCCAAAATGATTTCAAGATGTCATTGATGGCACCGGAGGATCTGAGAGAGTATGCTGGCTTGACCACGACGAGCATTACCTGCAAGCAGCGTATGACACTGAGTGCTGCAGGTATTGACCTGATCAGATGGGCTTTGGAGAGTACATTTGGTAGCATTCAAGAGTTACCCCAAAGTAAATTACACAATGGAACGAATGGCGACACCCATATGAACGGGTCTTCAGAGGAGGCAGATGAAGAAATTTCCAGGCAAACGACAGCCTATCTAGTTATGGATTGTGTCGTCGTACGTCATAATAGCAATGGGGAAGTTGAACTGGAATGGGAAGGTAATATGTTGAATGATGGTATCGCGGACGCTATCATGGCGGTACTATTCTCTGTGGAAAGCAGCCCTGCGGCGGTGAAACGTGCGTGTGCCAATCCCAAACCCCAATGAACAAGCTAACACTTCTCCCGCAGAATCTTCTAGCAAACATTCTCATTCCCATAAGCTTCCATCTCGGAATCCCCACAGCAACCTCTCGCCAACCGAGCGTCTAGAGCGACTTTTCATGTTCCTCGAAACCCAATTTGGCGCTGACAACATCACCCCTATAGCAACGCCTAAAGTTTCAAACAAGGCACTACTTCCTCCCGGATCTCCAACAACCATGAAAGAAGAAGATGGCATACCGGAAGCCTCCGGGGACGGGGATAAGGAGTTGGAAGCGCTCCAGAAAGTGGAACTTGAACGCCTGCATAAAATTGGCATCCCAGTCCCGGGAGTGGAAATTAAGGTTGATAAGATGGTGGCGAAGGTTTGGCTTGAAGATTTGGAGGTCGAATGTGCAAATCGGGTGTTTGGCGATAGGGTGCGTGCGGTGGTGGAGAGGGCTGCTGAGGTTACAGCACCGCTATGGACATGATATCTCAAATTACACTACGAGAAACTTGGTGTTTCCTGTTGGCTTTGGAGGAGGGAGATACATCGTGGAATTGGCGTTCTGGCCTAGAAAGGGACCGCATTGCCGTATTTTGATAATATGGACATGTACTTGTAGCAGGGAGGAATTGCGTGGAATTATTACTTTCGATTATCTCTACTAGTATTGCAGCTTTGCTGGATATCTTATTAGGGGGTTAGATATGAGGAATGGTTAAAGGAGTGATAAATGCTCGTTGGCATAATTCAGCGACGCCACTTCCAGAGTGGGTATAGTCCTTCACAAACAATTTATACAACTTCACTACAGCACAATAGCACCACGGCAAGGGATGATCCTTCCCTCTCGCCAAGTCATCAACATATCATGTAACTTTGTACCATATACTGTGACCCAACATAGCTCGGATAAATGAGTGTTAGCACACTACAAACACTTCAAAGCAAATAACCGGGGGCCAAAAAGCTTTAAGAACGCAAAATAAAATGAAAAGAAAGGAAAGTTCGTCATACTTCCGAAGTAAACAAATACGAAGTTTAATTGTCAACCCGATTAATGACAGGGTTTAAAAACCATCTTAAATGCCTCTGAGTGGCTCGAATTTCGAATATTGCGCTTTGCCCTCGTGCTCGTAACGCTCCTAGTAGTAGACATTATTAGATCAGCTCTCTCATACTCTTGTAATCCGCTCTAGGCCTTCGACTAATAGTTACTGGGTTTCCGGTTGACCCTAAATCTAGTACAAATACACTATAGAGCTTGGGTATTAGGCCGGCGCCCCTCCCCAATAGTGGAACCTGATAGCCGTATTATGCGCTGGGTTACGGGGATTTTCCAGCTCCCTGCAAAAGGATTAAACATTATTATATAGTCAGTGCTCGGTTGATATCTCTTTAGGGAAAAGAGCCATCGCCAGCATTCGTTAGGGGAGGGTGAAAATTTTGAAGAGTAAAATTTAGAAGGTGCTATCTAAATTGGAATACACTGCGGAAAGCTTTCCCAGTACAGTCAGTTGCTAAGCACGTTCACAGGCGCAATTAAGGCACAACGGCTTATAAAACATTATTTAAAGCCCTTTCCAGTTGCAGCGTGGACAGCTTATCATCATCTTTCGCAAACCACATTCTCTCTGGAAGCTGAAACAATATCCTTGATCGCCAATGGTAGCTGCATACGGAAGTAAACCACCATTGTAATGCGCTTCTCCATCCTATAATGCCCAGAGCATTAATCGCCTGCAATTATGATACACTCAGTCAAGGAAAACAGCTTCCAAAGTGCTAGAAGCAATCCAAACATGACAGAACCGCTAAATAGAATCATCATTTGCCGAAAATAACACCTCTCGCGCCGGAAGATAGAGTTTGGTTTCTGATACTCATACAGCACGACTCCAAACAATATCAGGCAAGTGATAACATGGACAAAGGATATTCTGATATCGAGGCCTTCGGGGAAGACGTCGCACATCACTATGTCCGTAGCCTTCATATGAGTAATATGACTTCGACGGTCCGTCTTGAGCACGCTGTTAAGGGGTGGTAAAGTCTCGCCTGAACCCATAATAATGCGTTTGATGAGGTCGTGAATAGGCTTGAATGGGGGCTTCTTGCCAGAGGTAGCATCGGAGGTTAGCGGAGTAGAGGTTGGCTCAAAAATAGTAGTGCATGGCGTCAGGACGTTTAACTTGGTATCGGCTGGGTGATCAGAAAGGCAGAAAGTTAGCATGTCAAATCCGAATACGCCAAAGACACGATCACCAAAACCTGGAAGACAACTGAATAAGATGTGGCCGAATCTCTACGCCAGAGTAGAGCTTCGAGAACTTGGATATAAAGGAATATAATGTGAGAAAATAAATGCTCTGCGAGCTAATTTATGCGCTACGTAAAAGAATAGAGAGTCGGTACTTACAGCACGCACCAACAGAGGTGATCTGGGGACCATGCGGATATGCAGAGACTGTTACAGTAGTAACTTTCGTTGGTGCTGTCTCTGTGACCGTAAATTGTGGAAGGGTTGGAATCGCCGTAACTGTATTGGTGATGATTAAAAAAGGCTGATTGCCGCAGCCGGTTTTCAGAGTGGCCGATACATTACTATCATGTCCTAAGACAATGTCGAGCTTGGCTACTGCGTTACCATTGAATATACCGGAAGTTATGTCTAGGTCCGACAGTAACTCTTTAGAACCACAAGCCAGACTGGCCACTACAACTGTAAACAACATGAAGATATTAAGAACGGGATAGATACCCACCTTGTTTGAAGACAACTGTCATAACCACCAAGAGGAGGAGTTTCCCATGAGAAGCCATCCTGAATGTGAATTTGAATTTGGCTTTGCTAACTGGCGTTGCTAGACAAAATTATGGTCAGATCTGGGCGTCAGTTCCGGGCGATGGCAAGGATGCGAGATACGCGGATGCGACTCCATCAAAGTAGTCACAGCCAGATCGGATCACGCAAAAGCTAGAGACCGAGAAGATACAACAGGTGAAAAGGCTCATGGCATGGATGGGAAGGTGGACATACATCTTCGATATACCATTGGATGCTATCCAGACACCGCGCAATTCTCGAGCAATTCAACAGTAGTCGATCACGTAAGTGATAATGAGAGTTGAAGGGAAGAGAGTGTGTTGTCTAGACAATAACAAACCTCAAATATAAACAGAGCGGTCTGCAGAGCGGTCGCGGCATATCGGGGCTAAAGATGGTGGCTGTGACTAATATGTCACATATATATCACGACGTTTCAGACATCCAAGCCTCAAATCAGCTCTAAAGGTCCGGTAAATGCCATTGCATCGTTAGATATGAGCCATTAAAGCACTCTGGAGCAAATCTCAATAGGTGTCAAATGTGGTATGTTGCTTGGGGCCTTCATAACTGGAAACATCTGTATATTTTTAACCAACATATTGATCTTAAGAGATCTAACTGTGTATTCAATGCATAGCACACACGTTCAGTATATGATGACATTGATGTATTGAGCCAATTATTACAGAGTTGACCTCAAAATATAACAAAGGAGCCCAATGTTCTTGATAAGTAGGATAGTATAACATGCCGATATTCCGTTAAGTTTAGACTGAGCTGCTGCAAGGTTTTCTATGATCTCTATTTTAATAAATCGGGGCCATAAATCCAAATACGCATTGGCGGCCTGGAGTAATTCCTAAGACCTAGTTCAACTTGACCTACCCGGCTTGAGAGGTGTACAAGTCGGTGGCCAAGCATCACCTTAACTTGGATCCTACTAGGATTAATATTGTGGCTCGCAAACATAGTGCAACCGACCGCAAAAACCAGAGGTATTATAATGGGAAGGAATTTTGAAACATAATAATGTTCAAACAGCTAAGCAAGTAGTCATGGAGCTCAAAAAGAACGTCCACAAACGCCCAACTCCTGTAGGTTGTACAAGGGGCTGAACGACAACCAAAGCATACTCCAAATAAATCACCGGGTGATGTAGCTCCCCGTGGTCGGTTAGAGAGTTCCTTGCCCTTGAAAGATGCCCAAAGTCACTTGGCTTTATTCCCATGGGTTTAGGTCTGGTAGCAGTTTGTTCTGTTGAGGTGAGCTTTGAGTTGTGAGAACAGGGGGTTCGGTCTCGGCAGTGCACCCTTGTTAGCTTGCTGCTTGGCTTGGCATCCCTTTACCTCATCCGAGCTCTCCTCCGGCTTGTATACATATACAAACGATATATCGCCACATACCCAGCCCTCAACTTACGCCTGCTACCTTGTGTGGAGACTCTTGGAGATGGCGTGGCCATATCCGTGAAGATATCTGTTCCCAAAGCGGCCTATCCGAATTGATACACGACGTTTGAAAGTTCGACCATCTCGGAAAGCGATTAAGCATCTAGACCTCGTCGGAACCCCATACCACTTTTGAGCGCCAGACGATATACCGCAGTGAAAAGTATGGCACAATCTCCTCAAAGACCCAATGGCACCCTCCAGACTCCTAAGGCCGACATGCCTCACCACGATTCCCAAGACCCCCAGGAGGCGGGGCCCTCGTTGCATGTCGGGGGCGAGATATTTCCGGTTGTGGAGATCCGAACCACCGGAGATGTTATTCTTGAGGTCCATTTCGAAAATACCGGTGCATGCAACAAATCCATCCCCAGCGAAGACATCCGGAAATTCAAAATTTCAAAGTCGTCGATACCCTCTCCACGAATTTTCTACCGAGTCCGACTCGAAACTCTCAACAAGAATTCCCGCTATTTCCAACATCTTCTAGGGCCCAGTTTTGCAGAGGGATCAGCAATCGCAAAGGCTTTTGCAAGTCTTGCCCAGTCGAAATTGAATCCCACGGAAATTGAAGCGGGCAGGCTCCCTAGGATTAAGATTGTTGATGAGGATGCTGCAACTAGAACGATTGGGAGGGAGACTATATTCAGCGATATGCTGCGGATTATGCATGGCGCTGTATGCTCGAGATTCGAACTTTACAGAGCTTAGGCTAATAGGTTTGTAGGAACACGCAACGAGACCGTTTACGCTGAATTGCTTGGCGGTCCTCGTTGTGATGGCCGATAGGTACAATGCGCTACCAACCGTGGCTCGTTATGTCCAAAAGACTTTGAAAAATTTCAAGTATCCGGTCACATTGGATACGAAAGCGGAAGAGGCTCTCCGACAGAAGATACTTATATTCTATCATACAGACCAGGCAATGCGATTTGCTTCTGCCACAAAAGAGTTGATATTGAGGGGCTCATCAATATGGAGTAGTGCCGATGAGGCTACAACTGACTTCCAAACAGCCTGGTGGGATCTACCTGATGGCTTAGAAGGTACTTACGCGTCCAAAACATACAACCACAAAGCTTTACTTACGTGTCGGTAGGTGAGCTTGCTCACCGCCGAGCTTGCGTTCTTCGTACAATCGCATCCGTGCAAATGCAATGCCTATCGCTCTACAGCTCAAAAGACCGGCAATGTAAACTAGGATACGACAGCTCCGGCGCCTGTGATTCCTTCCAGCTCGGTGAGATGGTCAAATTCCTCACCCGGAAAGACCTGCTCTCTCTCGTCTCATTTCAAGCTGCCTCCCCCGATGACACTGACGACTATATTTGGCCAGAAATTTATTCTGGCGATATCGAAAACTTAGTTGGTCTCCTTCGACAATGTCCCAGTTACCAGATTAACCATTATCACTCGCATTGTGGACTGAGATCTAAATTACTCCCGGCCCTTGATTACATTAAAATATGTGTTGAAATAGGCATCGGTATCAAATTCGGACGCTCGAGGGGTGATTGGAAGAATAACGCCTGGAGGGAGACAAGCAAGGCTAGATCTGAGAAGAAGGCGTTTTGGGTTACTAATGAGGATGGAGAGCATGTTGATGTTAGCGGTGAGAAGACAAGAGCCTTTAATTTCGCCTTGGTGAATCAGAGAGCTACTTGGGGTATTAACGATCTGGGTGGCGAAAAGAATGCTAGGAGTCTTTTTACAGCGGAGAAGTGGAATTGGATAAGAGAGCCTGAGGATAACGAGAAGGCACTGAAGTCGAGGTTTATGCGAGCTGACCCAGCACTTAATTGAAGGTGGATTTGAGTGACCAATCTCCGTAAGAGCGCCCTTTTGTAAGAAGTTGAGTTTAGAGAATGTGCATATTTATGATTTCAATAACAATTATATGACGAAGTTTTCACCTCCGTATCTTGGAACCCATCCCCCCTAATCGCCGCACCCATGCCATGCCGCCATAACCGATTACATCCGCCAATATGGCCAGACATCTCGAACTATGTCGACCGAGAAAAGGAGGCCATAACCTATCTAGTTAGTACTCTAGTAACCATAGCCTCCGGGCGGGTATCCATATGGCGGCTGCTGCGGTGGATACTGCCCTGGTGGTGGTCCGCCTTGGAAACCGGGACCGGGTGGGGGAGGTCCCTGAGTAGCCCAATAACCAGGCCCTGGAGGACCTTGATAAGGGCCAGGAGGTGGCGGGCTACCATGTCCGGGATATTGAGGCCCTGGCGGCGCGCCACCATACGGTGGTTGTTGATATGAAGGGGCCGAATATCCGCCTTGTGAGGGACCACCTTGCTGATAGCTCTGTTGGTACCCGGTGCTTAAATACCCGCCTTGTGAGGAACTAGGCTGCCCTAGATTCTGGTATCCGAAACTGGGTGACTGAGGTGGACGTCCAGGCGAACTAGGCTGAGGGCTGCTTGAGATATAGGATGACTGAGGATTATCATCCCGTCCTTCCATGGCACCTAGATCACGGTTTCGGATTTCGCTCCATATAGAGCCAGATGTCTTTCCGTGGCCGCCAAGTGAACCATGGGAGTGATCGTGGCCACCCTTGTCGCTAGATACCTTATGATTGCGTCCGGCTTTGACAGAGGCGGAACTTAGGATGTGGTTGAGATTGTGGCGGTCGGGTTGCTCCTCTACCCACTTCCTGACTGTGTTAAACATGTTTCTGTGGATTTCGAGACTCTCATCGCGGAGGGCTGGGTGGTGGAATGCTTTAAGAATATCATTCATCACCTCATCGACGGGAACTCCGGGATTTTGCCAGGCGTATATGAGCCGACTATAAAATATGTTAATTATCGTAACACGCAAGGGGATATTACTTACGGTGTGACATATTGAAGGATGGTTGTAGCCACTCGACCTCCAACACCATTCAATTTGTTGGAGAAGTGATCCTTAGACAGCATAGAGTGGGTCGGGTTGGTACAATGAGGATCATTCCAAGGCTCAAACTGCTGGTTTGCACTAACCAATAGTTAGTAGAGTACCTAAGCCCACAAACGAGATATGCTCAACATGCCTAGCGTTAACTACGGTGGATGATCCATCCTTCAGAGCTTTAGAGACTGCCTGGATGATAGGTCTTATAAACGGTGAAAGGAGTGATAACACGAAGACAGTCAGTGTCTCGCTGATCTTCTCAACTAGCGATTCTAAGCCCGGAATCTTGGCAATTGTTGCGTTGATTGCTTTCACAACTTTGTCTCGAAACTCCAAAATCGGGTAGATCTTCTTAGCGGTTTTAACAGGATCAAAATCAGCGCTCATTCCAGGGACCCCAGGGCCCGGCGGACCTGTGCTCGAGCCTGGTGGGGCCTGGAATTGCGTGTTAACCTGAGCGTCGGCTCGTGCGGTAGCATTCTCATATTCTTGAGCAGCAGATTGTGTCTGGAGGTCTCTCGCAGTTTGGGCTAATCCGCTACCTGCACCAGGTACTTGAGATAGGAGACCGGCGAAATCTTGTACAGAGCCAAATCCTCTCTGACCATCAGCCCGGGACTGAGACTGTTCGGCGCCTTTGAGGGCTAGATCCATTTCTTCAACCTCAGTCTGGGTGAAATGGTCGGTTGCCTCTCCCAAAACAGAATGTAAGAAATCTACTGCGCCAAACGTCCCGGTAACGAGAGGAAAGATGCGGTGACCTCGGACATTGATCTCTGTTGCTACGCCCGTATGTGGAAAAACCTCCTTATGGCCAAGTTCGCGGAGGGCAAGTTCCACATAATTCGTGTGAGCTCCAAAATCCTTCCAAAATAGTCAATACCGGAAAGTAGGTCACAACTCATGTTACTCACTTCCATACAATGGAGACCCTGACCAAGACACCTTGGGCATTTAAGTCAGTACACCAGATCTGTGGTTATAATTTTGTGAGCACTCACCTCAACGCCTCGCAAAGGTCAGCCTCTTTCCCGTGAGTATTTCCAGAACCGCTCGTATATAATCTTCCGAAATGAATGCTTCTAGCGAAGCTGAACTTGACATAGCCTGAACTGGTTGCCCAACCTCCGTTCTCATTTGCAATGTAGTTTTTCATTCCTGTGTTGTTATCAATTTCGAGCTCCACATTCTGAACGGGACCTCTAAGACGAGGATCATATTGTCTTGCATCCTTATTGTCGGCATCTAAGAAATATCAGCCCCGTAGCTTGCGCTTAACAAAAACCAACGTATCCATTTCAAATAGACTTGATATTACCAACAGAAAAGGCATCGATCAAGCACGGTGGCAACGCTTTGATATAACAGGATGATTCCGTAGCACATTGCCTTGCCGTAAAACAAAGCTCTGAAGTTGTTTCTTGGACCAAAGGTTATGGTGAAACGTCTACTCTAGTCCCATAGACTCAGAGAATCATATGCTGCTGAACCCAGAAGATACCCATCCGATTATATAGCAATTGAACCAACTGGGAAACAAACTTACAATCTTTAGGATTATCAATATGTTCTTCGGGCCTATAAACGCCTAATCTCTCTTCGGTAACCTCAAACTCCTCCGTAGCGTACCCAAAAGCCAAGAAGCTCAAGACCCACACCTATAAACTCTCAGCAGGTGCGCAATCTCATTCGGCGAAGGCTCAAACCAGGATCCGGATTGTCGGCGCGGAGACACCCTTCACGCTCCCCACGTCAATAGCTTGTGAATAATCTCTAAGCCAGTTACCGAAATAGACTCTCTTTATCATCATCGAGGTCCATTTGTGGCCCTTGATAAAGGCGACAGTCTTGAGAAAGTCCTCGATATCTTGGAAATGTTAACCACCCACTAGTTATGGGACACAGAGCTATCTTTACCTCCATGTCTGAAGTTGTCTCCTTCAATATTGGCAATACTTGGGATATTCCCAGCGCCAAAAGCTGCAGCGGGAGCGGGTAGCACAAGCAGCAGGAGGCACGAAACCAAGATCACCGATCCAAGTGTTGGGATAGGCGGGGCCATCTTAAGATGGATAAAATGTTGCAGAAGGTGAGGTCTATGCAGAAATGCGGTGATGATGGTGAGGAATAGGCTGCTAGCTAACGATTATACGTCGTATAAAGCTTAGCCTACCTAGTGAAAGAAGCCTTTAAGAAGGTTGATACTGTCGTTATTCGCGCCGACTTCTGCCAAGCAGTCGGTCAGGCGTGAATTTGATAACCTGCCCCGCGGTAGAGTGGCGGTGCGCTTCATCTACGCACGTGACCGGAATAATTTTTGGGGGCGGTGCGCACCGCCTCGGACCAACCGGGAAGGGAAATGAAGATCCAGCATGTCAACCATAAAAATCTCCTGAGTTGTCGTACGAAGGACGCGTACGCTATCGATCCTTACAGAGTATACCACCATCGCCATCGCCACCTGGTCCTGCAGTTCAGAGTCAGAGAGCTTCATCTGTTTATTTCCTCTCCTTTCTCGTTCTCCTAAGCCTATCTGCCTTTGCCCCCCGGGCGGTCTTCACTCGTTCTATCAGTTCCAAATCAGGATCCCTAGCCCAGCTGTCGCGGCTGCTACTTTCCTGGCTGGGAGCCTATTGTTCCCTTCTCGCCATCCGTCACCATCCCCATCTACGGCACATCCCGATCTCTCCTTTTCCCGAGTTCAAATCAAATCGCAATCATGTCGCCCTCTCGAACACTCCCAAACTTTTCGCTGGCCGAGCTTGCCTCTCACAATACTACGAAGAGTTGCTATGTAACAATGGGGACTCGCGTCTTTGATGTCACGGACTTCATAGAAAGTCATCCAGGCGGTGAAGATCTGGTGTTGGAGTATGGAGGAATGGACGTCACTGATATATTGAAGGACGAGGTATCTCATACGCACTCCCAAGCCGCGTATGAAATACTGGAGGATTCCCTCGTTGGATTCTTGGCCACTGAGAAAGTGATCGGCGCTGCCGCTGGGAGTACCCATCCAGACAATATCCTGCCTCTTCCAGCCACAGAAGAGGGAGCAAAAGAATTGAAGCAGAATGGAGTCGTCAATCGGGTCCCAGTCTTCGCGAGCACTGGCATGTCTTCTGAAGAGGACCTTGTTAAGGAGACAGACCTTGTTACCGATTACAAAGCCCACAAATTCCTCGACTTGAACAAACCATTGCTTATGCAAATGTGGTTTGGTGGATTTAGCAAGGATTTCTATCTTGAACAAGTTCATCGGCCACGCCACTACAAAGGGGGAGCCTCCGCTCCATTGTTTGGAAATTTCCTCGAACCCTTGACCAAAACAGCTTGGTGGGTTGTCCCCACGATATGGCTACCACTAGTTGCATATGGCACATATATTGCGAGGGCTGGTTGCTCTAGTTTGTTGGAAGAGGGAGCTTACTGGTTCCTTGGTCTTTTTCTCTGGACTTTAGTGGAATATATCCTACACAGATTCCTCTTCCATCTAGACAAGTAAGTCCGAACCCTGGCTCTCAAAGTACTGAATTAACTTTATCTAGATATCTACCAGATAATAGAGTTGCCCTGACTCTCCATTTCTTACTCCACGGGATACATCACTACCTTCCCATGGATAAACTCAGACTGGTGATGCCGCCCACCCTGTTCCTCGCCCTTGCGACGCCATTTTGGAAGCTTGCCCATTTCGTATTCTTCTGGAACTGGTCAATTGCAACATCTGTGTTCTGTGGTGGTATCTTTGGGTACATCTGCTATGACCTGACCCATTACTTTTTACACCACAAGAACCTGCCTTCTTACTGGAGAGAGCTGAAAAAGTACCATCTGCAACATCACTTTATGGACTATGAGAATGGATTTGGCGTAACAAGTCGATTCTGGGACGGGGTATTTGGCACCGAGATTGCGCCACCTCCTGTCAAGACCTTATAGGGTGCAGCAATGTGTTAGTATTGAAGCGGCTGCCATCAGAAAAGAACGACGTTATGTTTGTATAGGGGTTAGGTACTAGGTGCTCTGGGCGTACTGGGCACTATTGGCGTTGGGCGGTTGGTTGTGAGCTTTTAGAAGCGTAGTAATGAGGAGGCCATTTGGTGAGCGGTGGGACTGCGTCACCCCTCAATCTTACCTATAATATTCGATCCGTACAATAATTATAATACATTCTGAGAGTTCCTTGGTTGTTTAGATTGATCGAATTACTACTAGCTCGGTTTGCTTTCTCAAAGTGTTATTCTCTACCAGCCTCAGACTGCTTATATTAAAGGTTCCAGTATTAATAATAATTCGACTTCAACACAACAACTTTATACTTCCCATCTCCCTACCATAGCTAACACCATAGCCCAAGCAGACTCCGTCTGATAATACTTTTTGGAATTTCATATCAGCACATCAAAGAAATTTTGCCTATGATTATATAGAGGATTGGTCACTTATAGATCGATTGTCACTGATAGAGGATTTGTCACTTCCCAGCGGTCTGCCAGGAGCTACCTCGAAGTTCCTAATTCCCGTCGACCATCTTCCAGCTCTTGGTCCCGAAAGTCTTCCACTCGCCTTCAACTAAGTAGAAAGCTCCGACTGGGGAGCTGAACTTAGAGACCCACGCCCGGCGCCCACACTCTTCCACCGCCCATCTCACGCGCGGGTAGAACAACCTAACCCAACATATCCTATATATAAGGCACCAAAATAACAAAATTACTGTTACCCAGTACTTAGTACAAGCACGGCTGCTGGGCTTGGTAGCTCAGGTTAAATTGTACTGGCGAAGGGATATAGGTCGACAACATAACAGGTCTACAAAACCTTTGAACAAAGACAAAGGAGTAGGCAATTCGAAACGGACGGGCCGAACCTTTTTGCCCTTTTGGATGTTGGTTTTCAAGTAGTTTTAATTTTGATATAGTTTCGTTTTTGCACTACGAGTGGTCGAAATATCCCGTGACTAAGACACCGTGGTGGTCACGTGTATGGAAATGAGAATTTTCCGTGGCAGCCCATTCTAGCAGGCACCAACCTCCTCGACTTTACGAAGTACAATCTATCATCTCCTACTTCGTGCAAAGTACTACATCGCCCACCGCATAATCGGAGAAGATTCTATCAACTTACCAATACTCTTGCTTCGTGAAAAGGATTAACAGTTGTGTTGGAGCCTGTCTCTAAATCCAGGAAAGCCGTTTCCGCTTCATCATGTCAGCCTTGGACGTTGAGGCTTTGCTCGATTCGACAGCAAATGCCTCTCCTAAGGATCAGAACGGATCCGCGAAGCTGAAGGACGGAGATGATCGCCATAAAGCAGAACGAAACGAACGGCGCGATAAAGATCGGACTCGTGACGCCAGCCGGGACCGCGACAGAGACCGAAAACGACGGGACCGAAGCCGAGACAGAGTTCGCAGGGAGACAAATGGGGATAAGGAATTGATTGGTACCCCTACAAGTGACCACGGTAGCGCTCATGGAAGTGTCAAGAGTAGGCGTAGGAGCCGAAGTCGAGATGATGACCGTCGACCCTCAAGGCGCCACCGAGACAGCCCCGATGAGGCCGGCCGTCGAGATGGAGACTACTATCGAGGCGGCGGCCGTGCACGCACACGATCCAGGAGCCCAAACAGATACTATCGCCCGCGTGGTGACCGTCATGACCGTGAGGATATGGAGAAGCCAAGAGATGACCGCCGTGGCCGGAATGACGGCCGCCGTGCCAGTAGGAGCCCAAAGCGAGAAGGCACACCTCCTTTGACAGAGGATGAGCGCGATCGTCGGACTGTTTTTGTCCAGCAACTTGCTGCTCGTCTTAGGACTAAAGAACTTATAGCTTTCTTCGAAAAGGTCGGTCCAGTCAAGGAGGCTCAGATCGTCAAGGATAGAGTTAGTGGCAGATCTAAAGGGTAATTATATATCTGTCTAGCACATTCGTATGGCTAACATTATTCGTAGTGTTGGCTACGTTGAGTTCAAGAACGAAGAATCGGTTCCTGCTGCTATCCAACTCACAGGTCAAAAACTCCTAGGAATCCCTATTATCGCTCAGCTTACCGAGGCTGAGAAGAATCGACAAGTCCGCAACCCCGAAAGCAGTGGCAGTAATCCGAATCAGATTCCCTTCCATCGACTTTATGTGGGTAATATACATTTCAGCATCACTGAAAGCGATCTACAGAATGTTTTTGAGCCTTTTGGCGAGCTTGAATTTGTTCAGTTGCAAAAGGAAGAGCAAGGCCGAAGTCGAGGTTATGGATTCGTACAGTATGCGCTCATCGCCTAATGCTCTTAAAAATATGCTAACGATGTCTAGGTTTCGTGATCCAAACCAAGCTCGTGAAGCGTTGGAGAAGATGAACGGGTTTGATCTAGCGGGTCGCCCAATTCGAGTTGGTCTTGGAAACGATAAGTTTACTCCTGAGTCTACAGCCAGTCTGCTGCAGAGATTCCAAGGCCAGAGCCACCAACAACAATTCCAGGGTTCTGCATTCTCCGGATCTGGCGGACGAGGTCCACAAGCAGCCAGCGGTAGCAATTTTGATCGAGCAGGCGGTCGTGATAACGACAAAGGTACCGGCGGCGCCAGTGCTCTGGATGATACAGATGTTGGTGGTGTAAACTTCAACAATTATAGTCGAGATGCATTGATGAGGAAGCTTGCCAGAACCGACGAGCCACCTGCGACTAACGGACGTGATGAAAGACGCGAAGTATTGAAGCCCAAGACAGAGACCAAACCCCTACCAGTCAATGTCAACATGGCAAGCAGATGCGTTGTTCTAAAGAACATGTTTGATCCTGCAGAGTACGTACCTCTCCCTATGTTATAAAGTTTAATTCTAACGGCCGTTGTAGGGAAGAAGGTGATAGCTGGGTAAAGGAGCTGGAAGATGACGTCCGCGCAGAGGCGGAAGAGAAATATGGCCATGTTGTTCACATTGCTCTAGATCCGAACTCCCAAGGCGATATCTACCTGAAATTCGATCGGGTCCAAGGAGGCGAGAACGCCATCAAGGGTCTGAACGGCAGATACTTTGGCGGTCGGATGATCAGCGCTACTCCTGTTGTGGATGCGGTCTACAGCAGTTTGTTCTCACGCACAAAGGCTATCTAAGATGCTAATTACGGTCCTGCTGCTAAACTCTAGGGGCGCCTCTGGTATGTATCAAAGTTTGCCCGTTGGGAAGAAATATATTAACATCAAGACAGATCTTGATTTCAGTAGTCATCGTGCCCTCCTCGACGGCACCACTTCTTCTAGCAATCAACTCCTACCCGAACGATAACACTCGACGACTTCCTCCTATATTAGCCTGCCTCAACGTCAGCCTCGGTCCCAAGGATTCGACCCCACAAATTGTGAACTGGCATTTATGTCTCGAGAGCGTTGCTGATTTCGTTCACTTGCAGGGACTTCTCATAGAAACGATTTGAACCAGCCTGCGTTACCTTTTCCATGGTATATGAGCATGTTTCTGGACCCTGCTGATTGCACATAGGGCAGTTCCCATACACCTGATTAATTTTCCTTTTGCATAATTGTAGTAGTATGATTCTCGTTCACCCTAGGTAGAACAATACAAATATCGTACATGAATTTCATGTGATACTCTTTTTGGGTGACTGGCCACAAGCTGTGACCCCAATCCAGTTATTAGAAGTTTGTTGCTAGAGGTTAAGGCACCGTGCGATTTAATTTTACCTTACATGGCTGAATGAACTTGGGCCTCCACTGAGGAGCTGACCCTGCGCTGCTTCCGTTCAGTGACATCCCCCAACATTCAGTGCAGCTCAAACCAACCTGTTCTAATGAATCTTTTACCTGTGTCATTTGTCACCCTGAAGTTTGATTGAAATTTGAGCCTACGTTTTGTATTCGAACTTTGAGAAGGAGTTGCTGCAACAGTATAGTACTAGAAGTGTAGTTAGCACCTGATTGACTAGTCACCTGCGTCTACGGACACACAACATAAAAGATGGTTATTCTGGTTGAATTTGCCATTCGGTTTTGTGCTTTGAGCGATGCTTGAATCCGTTAAGCATGCCCCCAAGCTAAAAAGAATGACGATTACTAGGAGTCTAAAATAGAAAACTTCTGGCTCATTTGTAATTTTTCGAGAGTTGTATTTTGGTGCCATTAGAGCATTCTATCCTTTTTGCTTTGCCTGGTTTAGCTATCCGGGGTGGGCTTTACGCTCTTGCCATTAGTCTGGCCCCAACAACTACCTATTTTGATTGTGTTGTCTTATGAACTCGGCCTATACCTGCCCGCAGCCTCATATAAACATACACCTTGGGGACGTGAATCGGGCACCGGTAATGGCTAGCCGATATGTAATGGGTCGATGTGCCTAGCTTCCTCCCATCCTCCCATCCTCCCCGATATCTATCGCCGCAACACGTCTTGAAGAAGAAAGATCGCTTGGTTCTCCACATTTGCCTGGGCATACAGCAAGAAGAGATTGCGTTTTGATAGTCAATGCCGTTAAATTTTAACTAGTGGCAAAAGATACTGGGCTAGTGTCGGATCCACCCTCGTGGTATAAGTCGTTATCAAGTACCCAAGACATCTTCGATACAGTGATTTATTATCGAATTGTAAGGCAACCATTATTGCCATATGTTGACATTTAATTATTATTGTGGGCAAAACTTAAATATCCACAATGTAGCAAAGCCAAGTTACAGGCTAGTGCCGGATGGTTATTAGTGACAACAGACCTCAACACATCTTATCCAAAAGATAACAAGCGGGGATTAGAAGGGATGTTTAAAACATTGGCGTTCAGGTTGTGATAATCGATGCTGTTAACGCTGAAGCTGCTGAGGCCGTGCCGACAAACTTACTATCTATACCGCCCCCTTTATGTTCTCGCTTATATTTGCATCCCATAGTCACACAGCTACTGCTAAGTAAACTCCGGCAGATTCAAATCAACGCTTCTCAGCACTACGAAGTATAATCACTTCGCCACGTGACCCGCTCCTACATTAAGGGTTATGTATCAATTCACCTTCACTAGGTATCCCTTTGAGTTGCTGTAAGCGACAATTAGGGCTATTTAAACCCTCACTCTATTGAAGTTCTTTATACTCTTGATCTCCTTCACATATCACCCAACATCATCGACCGTCCTTCAGATCTTTACATCAAGGTCGCGTTCATGCAACATCACCACCATTTGAGCAGAATCCCATCGACTGTTTCTGAAAGGAGGTAACTCCTGGTTATTTTCCTTATGCCAACTTGAACGTGAGTACTGTGGCGTTTCAGCTTTGCCTTCTTTACCCTTTACCCAACATAGCGATATTTAATTCTTCTGCGCCCTCTGCCTAGCTCCTAGCGCGTTGTTCAGCTTCCTTACCTTTTAGATCGCGTTACCTCATCTGAACCCATTCGTCATGCTTTTGGTGTCCTTGGTTGCTGAGTTTTATCCAGTTTAGATCTGTGTCTTAAAATCAGTATTCAGACACCCCGAACAACTATACAATCTGTACTTACGCCGGACCGGCGGCGGACAACCCAAAACGCTTGATCTTGACAGACATGTCCTGTCCGCAAGAAAATCATTCTGGCTGGCGAGCAGGAGGCCAAAATTCTTCCATATATATCCCACCTGTGTGCCCTCCAAAGCCAACATCGACGCTTCAGCAAGAGTTGGATAGGATGGAAAGAGTTACCCAAGACCTTGCACGACTAGTCAAGATAGGCTTCAGCCCCAAGAGGGGTGGCTCGCCAGCCCCTAGCGATAGCAGCGCTGAATCTATCCAGACTCAGGTGCTCGCATGTAACCAGGTCCAGAATAATAGCCACGGACTAGTAGATGGCCCGGTCCTCGGTTCTGTAAGTCGACCTCTGGCTAAAACTATTACCTAGGTGCTAACAGGTAAAATCAGGGAGTGACGGTTAGCCAATTGTCGGCATTTCTTCAGCGGCGCTTAGCAGAACACCAATCCCACATCAAAAACGCTCCCGGAATTGCAACAAATATCCAGACTCTGCTTATTGATGAATGTCGTATTATCAGCCAAGACTATAATAAGGAACAGCGACTCCTTCAGCAGCGCTTTGACCAGATCTACAATGAAAACGTTCACGTGAAGACCCAGCTCGGCAACGCCCAACGCGAACTTGCAGATCATCACAACAGATCGAAGGCTGATATTTCTGATGGCAACGAACCCAAAGAAGAGAGAGATACCGTGTCACTTCAGTCGCAGGTGAATGAGCTACTTCATGAAGCTCAAAAGCATGAAAAGGAATGGCTTAATATACTTGAACAATCGCGAGTCGCCAACGAAGCACTGTTGAAGAGGATTAAGGTTCAGGAGGAGCAGCTCAATGGAAAGCGAGCTTTGTGGGTGGAATCGAATCCCAGGTCAAGTGCACACCGTGGTGCTATGACAACCATCAATAATTCCCTTGCTACTCCATCCACAAGTCGCGGGGCCAGCGTCAGCAGTGGCCACTGGCAGATGTCCACCATGGCCAACTCTCCCACACCGGGTTTGTTGACTACTGCTTCCGGCAATGGCTCATTTGGCAAGGGTTCCTTTGGAAAGCATTCACGCAGCAAGTGTCCATGGGCTGCACCTCATCAGGCTGCTGCACCTAACAATCCCGCAAATATTGGCCCTCGACGTCGTCCGCATCCATCACCCGGCAGACGGAACCAGTCAGAGGCATTGAATGTCTCCGGTCCCGAGCAGCTAGCACATACTCTCCTACATGTTCCTAATACCGAACACGGAGTCGCCCCTCTTAATCTGCACCGCTCCCAGGCTTTGATGCCTTATAATATCAATGATGATGAAATGGCTGAGGAGTATGCGGCTGCGCTTATCAACTTCTATCGGCTGGTCGAAGGCTGGGCCAAAACATATACGTCCACGCCGAACCTTGCTAATGATCGCGGCATTGCGAGCTCCAACGTCAGTCTTTGGGCTTTTATGATGGACTGCACCTACCCAGGGTTCCGACAGGATTCTCATACCCATGTCATGACTCTGCTAGGAGATCCAAACACTAGGTACTGGTTTGTGATGAGAATGTGCCTCACCGTTTGCGTCAATGAGATTATTGACCTCAGATCATTTTATGGTTACAGCGAGGTAATGGATAGAGAAATTGACAAACTGATGGTGAAGCTCCAGGAGCGAGGAGGTAAGTCTATTCCATACTCGAACGTCTGAGTTGGCTGCTAATAGCTGGAACAGGCCAGGACAACGATGGTCGCCAGAAGCTCATTAATCAGCGAGCGCGGATAGTTCAACATATCATCTCGGCTCCTGATTATCAGCGGTTTCGCAGTGACCAACTTACAGTTTATTCGAAGCGCTTCCGTCAGGTGCTTGGGCCCATGCTCGACGATTCTATCCATCTTGGCGAAGCTGGAAGAGACGTCGGCGTAATTGTAACCGCCACTTGGGAACTTGCAGCCAAACTGTACTCTGCACCGCTTACCTTCCAGATCAAATTTCCTCCCACGGCCTCCAGATTCTCCACGGCCAATATGATCGCCAAGAACCGACCATACCAGGACGCTCTGCAATTGCAAATTAGCCAGGCTCGCCTCAAGCTTGTCATTACTCCTATTGCTACTCTCCGGGACGATCGTAACACCACTATCAAGGCCAAGAATTTGCATCGCTCCCTTGTTCTTACTATGGACTAAATGTCTACGCTGACTTGAGACATTCAACAAACACTTTCTAGTTATTTGTGCAATCGGATCTCGAAGGAACTCTCTGAGCATTGCACCTACTTTGCACCTTCTTGCACACCCAATTTGCACACATGAACCCCTCACGTCATATACTACTCACGTCTTCAGCCTCTCAGTCGTGGCCGAAGACTCGGCGTAAGTTTCATTGCAAAATCATACATACATTTTGGGAGCTTGTATTACAGCAGGTGGCCCAAACTGGCCCTAGGGTCCGTTACACAATCCTGTTGTCAATGCTTTCCTCTGAGTCCCCCCTTTCATATTCGAAGTTTCTCTTCTCTCAAAATGGCCCGTTCACGGAAAACTAATAATAGGCGTCCGATCTCTTCCGAGACAATCACGGAAACCTTTAGCATAGCTTTCTCTTTTCCCCCATTGCGATATTATGCCTCAAGCTAGATTAATATGGGGCGTTTCTAGGATGGATGGATTGATAGATGGATATTATGGATGGCTGGTGTTGTAGCGTTCGATGCTCATCATAAAAATGAGTCATACGCGACACTTGAATATAATTTATTAAACTGCCTGATGCTCAGTGCGAGACTTGCTGTGATGAAATATACAATATTTGTAGAGCCCTAGTGTATTGTATGGCGCATGCTTGGGTGGATTTGGTGTAAAACTCTTTTCGGTAGAAATATTAGGCACCCACGGCAATTAACGTTTCTATTCGATCTATGTCGGTGTATAGTATAGTGCTACTAGGGTAATCTGCTATTCAAATATCTAGCCGGTCGTAAAGTACAGCTATTCCTAGATCGCTGTTACTCGAGTAGGCCTTGTTCGCCCACTGTATCCTCTATATCTAACTAAAATTGAGGCATTCGAGTTACGCGAATATCTAACTGAAATAGATATATTTACACTACTTGAATATCTCAATTTCAGTCAGATATTTACATATATCAGATTTATATCTAGTAAAAGCTAATAGTTATATAATACTAGCGAAAGGAGTTTTACACTAAACTTTCTTAACAATACACTATAGTATTAAGTTTCTTCAACTTTCTAATATAGATATTATATTAGATTTTAGGTTCGTATTATAGTTTTTGAGTTTAAGCTTGAATATTATTTTCAGGCGAGATAACTTACTATAGTATAGTTATAACTTTGTAGAAGAAAGAGTTTTAGACTCTAATAGAGTAATTCACTGCCGAGATTAGTATAACGAAGAGTTACATATAGTTCGACTACTAATTTTAGATCAAGTTCGATTATTCCTAAACATATAACTTATATATATATTAGAGTTGATTAAATAATTACTATAAAGTTAATATATACTTTAATAGTATTTCCTATTTTCTCAGCTTCCTCTTACTCCAAGTCCTCGTCAAAAGTATAGAAAGAAAGTATTCTTTCGTCGTCTAACTTACTACGAGGATCCGGGAAGATATTCTCCAATATACTCTGCAGTGTAGTAAGTACGGAAAGTTACTTTAACATAGAGTATAGCGAATACTATATTATAAAGACATTAGTAATATTAACTATTAGTATAATCGAAATTAGATTAGATAATGTCGAATTATTAGTAGAAATAGGAATTAGAACTCTCTAGAGTAGTCTTTTGTCGCAAGCTATATACTTCTTATACACGAGTCCTAACTACGAACGTCTGTTATTAATAGCGAGACTGTCTACAACGTCGTCCTAGATCTCCTGAAAGTAGAAGATGGCTTCGCCTAAGATCGTCTATATATTATACAAGTTATACAATTTATAGTATAGAACGTAATACTTAATACTTCCTAATAAAATACTATCTATCGTTAGTATAAGTACTTTCAAGATGTTATCGTATTATAGAAGAACTCTTCTTATAGTACGTTGACTTTCTTGTACTTTGTCTCTAGATTAACCGGTAGCTTTTATACTATACTTGAGCAGGTTGTCGGCGAGAATTAATCCTACTACTAAGTACTCGACAGTTTCGGCCCTCGAATCGATTTCTTCTTATATAGGAAGAATAGATAGTATCTAATATACTACTAGTAAATTATCTTGTGCTTAGTACTATTATATTGTTCTACGTCCTGTTTTTGACTTTCGTGCCTAGATTTTCTGGAATCTTTTCCGTCCTAGAACGCTTATAGTAATCCGATCTCCGTACTCATTCTTCGCGATATCGTTCTGTCTATCCGTAGTAATACTAGCCTCAAGATTATTATCGTTTGGACCCCGTTTTATAGTCCCTGATATAATAGGCTCTCCTACAGCTTTACTAGATGATGCAGTCAATATCGCTCCCTTAGAAAGTAAGTCTCGTTTTGCGCGACTTGAATACCTTATTTCTAGTGAGATATTCGCGCGACTTGAGTACCTCATTTCTAGTGAGATATTCGCGCGACTTGAGTACCTCATTCTAGTGAGATATTCGCGCGACTTGAATACCCCAACTCTAGTGACCTCAACTCTAATGACCAATTGCGAAGAGAAATTGTGGAACGAATATTTGTCTAATTGAGCAAATCTATGCAAACCCTGGGGTATCAATCTAATAAAGCCTATCCATGCGAATGCCCATTCTCCCAGCGTGAAAGGCAAAGTACCAAGTATGTAAACAAAGAAGATGCCACCACCACCACCTATCGTTGTCTTCTAGCACTCCCACTTGCTGGTCTCCGATCAAGTCTCTTCACTACACTTCCTAACAGAACTTTCATAATGCTTTCACCAGTTAAGCCCACGCCACCCTCACTGGAGCTTGCACCGCCGGTCCAGGTAACGGTGTCAACGATATCTCTCACGCCACCCTCTACCAAATTGCAGAGCTCATCATCGAGTTCCTCGAGAGCCTCCTTGGCACCTTGCTCGTTACCAACTTGGAAGAACTGCACACCGACCTGGAAAGGGGGTGCGTCTAGCTTGTCGAGTTTCTTCGCTGCGGAGACCAAGACTGATTCCACGTCATCGGAGGGTACGCCATCTGTGAGGACGATGAGATTCAAAGGCTTCACTTCCTTGCCTTCTTCTGTATCTTTTTCCAGCTTCGCCAAGTAAGGTTTGAGAATATTGTGCACTCTAGTACCGGTTGGTGTTCCGCCTTGCGGTCGTACTGTGGCGAAGATTTCCGTCACCGTGGCAGCTCTCTTGATTCCCCTGTATCCACCAGAAGCGATACCGTCAGAAGGTGCGCCTACGTCGGAAGACTTGTGGTTCATGAAGTAAACGTCGATACCATCATTATCATGCGCGGTAACAATAGGTGCAATTGTAGAAAGCGCCTGAGAGACCTCCCGCCAAGAACGTCCTGCCATGGAGCCCGAGTCATCAATCAGAAGAGTGGTGTCGAAGGTTGATAGGAAAGAATATGGATCTTCCCCGCTGCTGGATGGAGCGTTTGGCTGTGACGCTTCCAGCTCTGTTGCCAGAGCCGGACCTGATCCGACTGTTGGGGATGGAGTATATGCTGGTGGCGGCTCATTCGATGGAACTGTAAAGGCGTTCATGCCTGGGCGATCTGGTCGACGTGTGGCTGGTGAGGGATTTGCAAGTGGACTTGGAGTTCTCCTTGGTGCAGCAATCCTGTCCCTAGCTCCAGATGGTGAAACTGAAGAGTCAGTTGGGCCTCGGAATGAGGGAGTCGAATCAAGGTCTCGTGACATTGATGTATCTGATCGCTGCGAGGACTTGCTGTTCTTGCGGCCGAGTTTGCGGATAGAGCCAAATAATGAGTGGCTTTGGCGCGTAGGCGTAGGATGCATTGCATCGGATTCCGACATTGGAGTGTAAGTAGTGGGTGTTCTTTAAAGTAATGGTTAGACGGCGAATATGTAAGTAGCAAAGACGACTTGAACTTTGTTTGACAAGTGATTCACCGGCTCTTGAGGAGTTTGCTGTGTTGGAAGGAAGAGTGAAAGCAGAGTGGTAAGAAGTACATGCTCTTATATGACTTCTGTGCTCTCTTACGCAGCTGCCTGTATTAAGTACGCATCAAAAGATGGAGACAACAGCTTGCTTTGTTTGGATCTGCCAGTCTTTCTGCCCTGGCTTGGCCACACGCTCTGTTCCGGCCCGAACAACGACGGGATAGCACCAGCAATGCCCTTGACCAGCTCACCTTGCCACCGGGAGAGTAGGGTAGTGGAGTTTGCGAATGACCAGGCGGTCGAAGGAATGTACGAGGTGAAGCCTGGTGTTGGAAGGGAAATCCGATTGTCGCGGCAAGCGAATCCTTGTGCGCCATAGGCCAGTTATCCGGGTCACGGCGCTAGCTGAGCCTGCATAGCCACAAGGACAACGAGGCTGAGTCCGCAATCGTTCTTCGTCCTTTATTTTGCCTCGTTGATTGCCTTGTCCGCAATCATAATCATAATCATAATCATCGTCATTCTAGACAACCGGACTCTTGCCCCACCAGGGCGGTTCTCTCCAACACGTGGTTGAACCTGTCCCTGACTCTCAATAACCTTTCTTTTGGTACGAGGTACCGATCTACCTGAAGGTTCTCGTGTATGGCATCACACAGTGATTATTATCATACTATCTCCATCCGCAGATCGCCGAAATCAGGATTCCCCAATGCTCGAGGATCTGGCGCATCACCAGCCTGCCGAGTGGCCCGGCGGTTACTGGACCGGACAGGCGCTGGACCAACATTGTCGCTGTTGGGGCTTGTGATATTCTCTTGGGCAAAGGGCCGCCCTGCTGCGACCTCGAGCTCTTCAAGGCAGTTCTGAGGTTGAAATGGTGAAGCGCTCAGGTTATCTTATATCCTCAACCGGGCGAGATGATTTACTTTTTATATTCTCAGGGGCAACGATAGGCTTTACTAGCCTCGCAGATTGGCTGTTTGCTCAAGGCGAAGCGAGCTCACCTCGTGTATGGAAATGTTCCGCAGTTTAGCAGGCTACGAGGGGTGAAACTCGGGCACTCGGTGAAAGGTCTTTGGGAAGGTACCATTGGAATCCGTAAAGAGGCTGAAGTCAGCATCATCCTCAACCCTATGGGTAGCCTAGACGGCCAGTATATCCTCCCTACGTGCAAATGGTAATTGCCAGGACACGGCTTCGATTCCAACGACGAATGCCTTAAGCCCAATATTACATTAAGCATTTTGGTGGGCCGCTGCAAGAGGCTCACTCCTTTGACTCATTATTGATTTTTTGGACCAGATAACCAGCACACAATTTAGGCTTCACTGTTTATCCCATATTCATGGCTAATCGGTTGAGAAACTTGACGAAGCAACTGCTTGAAATTTTGATTCTATACAGGGCTTACCTTCTTGTCTTCTGATCGTACACATAGTAAGAGCTATAGCTGAAACTACTATAATTTTCTGCCCTGAATCCTCTGGCGTGTAGTTCATTGATTATGTACTGTACATCATGGGGAAGGTTGATTCACGCATTTAGATAGCCTGTCTAACGTGACGTACAGCTAGATTTGATGCTTTATTGTACATAAGAGTGAAATGAGTTTATTTTACACTTTCTCACTTACTACACCCATCGAGCTTCTAATATTCGCTCGCTAATACTTTCTTTAAAACCCCTACCTCCTTCTCCCAACCTTCTACCTTACTTTGACTCGCTGCCAGCTTCCCAAGAAGGTACTGGATCCTAGGGCCTACCTCTCTCGGCTGTTTAGGCAAATTACCCAGCATACTCAGCTCCGTCTCATACTTATTGATATTCTTTGTCTCGACCTTGGTTAACTCCGTAAGAATAGCCATATCAAATTTGCTTTTCAGGACGTTGTCTTCTGTCAACAACTTGAACGCAGCTTGGTAAACTGGTTTTCCAACTTTGATCGTTTGTGGGCGACCGTTATGGGTCTTAATGCTAATAAGCTCAGCTGCCGAGAGGGCTTCTAGCACATTCTCGCCATTTGAGGCTGAAGGTGAAAGCGAAGATGCAAATGTGTTGGAGAGAAGGATCTCATTATACCGAAGGCTATTGTTTTTGGCGAGCGACTTTACCAGATACCAGGCTTGTTCTTGGGACCATTTGCGTTCTCCAGTATCAACTGCAAGAAGATACATTTTCATTATCTCGGAAGCACTTTGCTCGATAATCTCTGCGACTGCGCGCTTTGGGGTCTGCCCAGTCTTGAGTCTTCGGGCAAGGAATTCAAGATCGGCCAAGCGTCCTCCAAGGACGTCAATACATTCGTCAAGCTCTTCTAGATCGCGGCGCCGTTGGTGTGGAGTGAGCTTTTCTCCCCCTTTCGTGGCATCGCTCGGCTCCTCATTAAGGCGGGTAATGACAAACTTTTTCGCGACTTCGGGAGTAATATCACCTAGCGAAATCTGTCTGAACACTCTGTCCGGCAAAGCTTTGCTGAGCGATTTTGAATACGAAGTGTCGTTTGTAAGAAATATGACGTGAGCGATATTGGCCGTCGTTAACCCAGCCGCCCATTCAGAGATTTTGTCATATACTATGCTCCCTTCTTCATTCTTATGGAGGAAGTTATCGATGACAACAACAGGTCGGCACTCGGGATGCGCATCAAGCCAATCTATTAAAACATAGGCGTTAGTGATGATTCAATCAAGGTTGTAGAGCATTATAGCATATGCGATCCTTGAAACAAACAGGGCCCGTTCAAATTCTAAGGGGGAGGAGAAGCGAAATGCTTCCATAACCACTCACCATCATCAGAGAGGTTGCCATCTTTGTCATTCTTCTTTCGACATTGCAGTGCTACTTGCTTTAACGCGGTGGCCGTGTTCTGCCAAATCTTCCCCAGTTGGGCATCAAGTGTCTCGCTAAATCCAGACTTTACACCGATAGTCCCTTGAGCTGCAAGATCAACCAAACTGCTGATGCTGTTCATCCATGAAAATACCGGACGATATCCAACAGCGGCGGCAGCTGCAGATATAGTGGCACTATCGCCCCGGGCTTCCTGGATCGGCTTGCAATCAATGAGTAAGGTATTGTTTCGACCCTTTAGAGCTTGATCCAGTATTAGTTCTCTCTTTCCAGATCCCCTCGGACCGCTCACGACCACGAACGTATCAGCAGTCTCCAGGAGCCAAGTCTGCAATTGATCGATAACTTCTTTCCGATCATCCCAGATCGCTCCGAGACCAACGCCCTCTGCCATACTAGAGCGGGAGGTAAAGATATCAGTTGCCTGGCTCTTAAACCATTTGTAAAGCTTGTTGTCCGTGAGGTGGAAAGCATGATCAATATGGGCTTTTATGAAGAAGGTCCGGATTGGGTCGAAGACTGCTACAGTAATAGCAGCTAGGAGTGCTGCAATTGCTGGAATGACGACCTTAGGATGGCTGACAAGCCAATCCCGAATCCAGTGTGCTTCAATCTTTTTCTCAAACGAAAGTCGAAGCTGCGTTCCTGATGGTCCACCTCCGGCCTCCTCTAATATTTTCAGCCCATGCATACAATTCTTGGCCACTATTGCCTCCCTCAATCTCGCAAAGTCTAGAAACGCAAATTTGGGAAGTATTTTAGAATCCGACGGTTGAGTGACAATCTCTGCGAGCTTGCCATATCTTCGAAATAGACTGTATAGCATTTCTTGAGACAACTCGGCAGCTTCCTTTCCAGGGCTCGTGGGAACAAATTCGACCTTAACTCGTCGGCTTGGGAAACGAGAGAGATCTTCAAGCCATGGCCGGCCCACCACCAAGTTTGTTCGTATGCGCCGGAAGGGGTTGAACCACGGGTTTATGGGGTTTTCTTCCAAATATCTAGCGACAAGCCCTACAACATATGAATATACACCTCGGGAGATTATGCGGGTTTCGTACCTTCGATTTCTTTCGTTGTCATACCCTGTGGATGTTGGAATTTGATAAAAGCACCCCTGGAACAATGAGTCTGATATCTACAAGTCTGTAGCAGCAGTACTCACCCATCCTTTAGCCTAGGAAGAATTTCCGTAACTTTTATAGGAACCGAATCTGGAATCGCCCTTTTGACAAGTGTCAAGGGCTCGTAAGGTCTTAGAGCTTTGTTATTGAACCGCCAGAGTAGGCCTGATAAACTTCCACCACCACGCATTGGCAGGCGAAGGGCCCAATATAGTTTGATGGGGAAGATATCTATGAAGAAGTAGACGATTAGCTGGTGTCCTTCGTTGGCCTTGCTCAAAATCTTACTGTCAAAGAAGAGGATGCCCTCGTTTGGCCCGGCAGAAATATGTCCGGTCAAATCTTCGCCCGTTTCAGTGCTCTCCCTACGAACTCCCCTCCATTTCCCCGGCGCATTGAGATGCTTCAACCCTACTCTCCGGGTCGACACGCTGTTGTAGAAGTTGCGGCATTGTGGTCTTTGGGCTCTCAAGCAAGGCAGGCTCGTAGGATTAAAGAAAACGCGTCGTTGGGCCTGCATGATAGCAAGTGGGTAGTCAGATATGCTGCCACTCAAATATCTGAAGGCATATCGACAAAGATCGCATTGAAATGCATGAATAGACCCAAACACCTGAAGATGTCTGCTGCTGCTGTGACTGTTAGAAAACGCATCAATGCAGCGCCAACGTCATCGTAAGGCTGATATTCCAACCTGCAGGGGTCGTTCGCTGGCTGGGGCAAGGCCAGATCACGTGCATCCCGACGGTCAGGCTCGGATTCGGGACCGCGAGAATTTCAGCCTCCTTAGCATTATTGTCTAGAGGATTACGAAGTATACAACATCACAAAATGGGCTGGCCTTGGTCAAAAACCGCGTCCCCCACCCCTTCCTGGGACTCTCCTCCGATTTCGACCCAAGGAAATGATAATAACCTCCAACCACCTCAATTACCTTTAGAGACTCCAGCTGCGCCCTCACAAGCGACTACCACAGCTCCAAAAGCCCTCTCACGAGACGAGGTTGCTGAAAAAGAACTCCAAGCCTTCCTCCAAGAATTCAACGCCGATATTCAGCCAAAAAAACCAAAATTCACCCGCATCTCTGGCCAACAGCAATCGCCGACTTCCAACACCTCCCCTACCACTACCGCAGATGCCGAAGATAAACTCCCAGTGTCTGAGCAAATACTACCCAAAACCATGAGCTGCCGGCAAGCCTTCGACGAAGCTTTCTATTGCAACTCCCTTGGCGGGAAATTCAACGACCTATATCGCTATGGTGGATTGAAATCATGTTCCGAGAACTGGAGTGCGTTCTGGTTCTGTATGCGCACGAAGAATTATGGGCGCGAGTTGAAGGAGGAGGCTATTAGGGACCACTATAGACAGAGAGAGAGACTGAAGTATTCGAGAGAGGTGGAGGCCCAGAGTAGCGAGGATATTTGGAAGAGCAGGGATAGGAAGCTGGAGTGGGGCGAGGCTTTCAATGTCCCCTTCCCTGAATTCGATGGGGATGATGAGGAGTGGAATAGACGAGAAAGAGAGAGGAGAAGGGGTAGGGTTGATGGGAGTATATCGTAAGAAGCTCTAATTGTACGATCAGCGCAAGCAAACGGCGTGGAGTTAGGGCGACAGAAAACACTGGAATTCCTTTGGGGCCTTCCGATGTGAAGCGGCGTTAGACAGAGAGGCACCAAGCTGGTCTCTGAGAATGTTCTCAATATTATGTTCAATTACTGGATACTCGACACAGGAAGGAGTAAGAGCAAATAACTATAATCTACGTCACAATGCCTCTCATTGGTATCGAAGCCCCGATGCCCTAAAATGCAAGACGCGAAACCTTAACACCCTCCCATATTTGAACAGGCATACCAGATGCAGCTCGGCCCCTAGTGCATCCATACCGAGGTACAGTTCGTGGTATCGATAAAACTCCCAAACTAACGCCAATATCATAACATACAGTCCCGGACATTGCTACATTCCCATACCGTTCTGCATCCCGTTCATGTTTTGCTGCATGCCCGCTTGGGCAGCCATCATCTGCTGAGTAGCGATCTGATGTTGTCTCATTGCCCTAATACGGCTCGTAACTTGCTGGCCTGCCTCGTTCTGGCAAGAAATTCTGAATGCTTGTTCGACCTCTGGCGGTATGCCACCAGGATGTTGGTTTTGGAGCCCAGGGAATCTTTCCTGGTATAACTTTTGTGACTGCTGTCGGACTTGCTGTTGTACTACCGAGTTCTGAACACCTGCCTGCGCTTGGTGTTGCCGGGCTTGAGCCTGGGCCTGGGCTTGGGCCTGAGCTTGGGCCTGAGCTTGTCGCATTTGCATTTGTTGCATCTGTGCTATTTGAACTTGTTGCATGCTTGGCATGCCAGGACTATTACTCATGAAGTTTTGATTCATATTTTGCGGTAAACCTGAGCGGGCAGCAATTGCGGCCATATGATTGGCATAATTTTGAGTGAGCTGAGCATTATTCATTCCTTGTTGCTGTTGACGGAGGATCATCAACTGCTGCGGACTTAGCTGCTGGCCATTTGCCATTCCTGCCATGCCTTGGGCCGCAGCATTTTGCGGATTTCGCATCAGTGCCTGAACTCGCTGTTGCTGCAATTGATGTTGTTGTGCAGCATTCATCTGCATCTGGCCGTTGCCCATAATTGGCATATGTTGTGCGTGTGCTATCGAACCTTGGGTTGGACTACCTTGACTCATTCTTGGAGTCTGGCTCATTTGCCGATTCAAAGGAGTAGCAGACTGCATGTTTGGAGTAACATTTGGCATTCTCGGAGTGCCAGCATGGCTCTGCTGACTTCTTTGTGCTGTCATACCATGAGATACTGGGGCACCCATCTGAGGGTGGTTCTGATGAACAACAGATCCTGGGCGAGCAGGACTTCCGCCCATACTGGATGTAGAATGTTGCATTGAATTTCCCATGCCATTCATAGGAGGGGATGAATGGCTTTGTGGTGTGCCGTTTCGAATAATTGGGGACGATATTTGTGCTTGGCTGGCCTGCTGCTGGTGGAAACGTTGCGGCTGCCCTTGGATTCCATTCGCAATGATATTATTTGGCTGAGGATGTCCATGTTGGCCTTGGTGCTGGCCAGGCAGGCCTTGAATGCCTTGCTGTGACTGTTGGGTTTGTGCCTGCGCTGCAAGTTGTCGTCTATGAGCTTCTTGCTGCTGCTGTCGGGCGACGGCTTGTTGCTGGTGTTGCTGAGCAGCCAGAGCAGCACGCAACTTATTCTCCTGCTGTTGCTCTTTTCTCTCGGATTCCTGCCTAAGCCGCTCCCGCTCGCGGTCCTGGGCTTGCTTTCTCTCAGCCTCCTGTTGCCTAAGCTTTTCAATTTTCTTATTCTCTTCATGTTGAGCCTTGATATTCTCAAGAGCCTTGAATCTCTCAAAACGAGGTTCAAATGATGCACCGCCAGCCTGGCCATCGCCATCAGCTGGATTGCCGGCTCCTTGAGCACCAACTGCATTTGAAGCGAGTCGCTCGTCCAAAATAAGCATGTAACGTTCCTGGTCGGCAGCGAGCGCCTCGTCGGCAGCCATTTCTGCAACAGTCCGCTTTCTAATTTTGGGAGATGGTGGCTTTTCGGAATGCATCGGGTGAGATAGCGAGTTCAGGAGGGCAGCAGATTCAGCCGCACTGCTAACCGGTTCGAGAACAAGCGGAGCAGTAGTAGCCAGCGCAATCTGGGATTCTGCGGCATAAATACTGTTGCTATCTAGGTCTACCTTGTTCTTCTTATGTCGTTTCGCAGGCGGCGCCATACTTGCTTGCGGAGTGGAAGGAATACCAGTAGTCGGCGTTGGAGGGACAGTGGCCGACAAGGGCCCATCCTGACGTGAGTCTTTTCTGCCATCGGTGCTGGATAAAGCCTCAGCCACTTTGACTGCAAGGTCGATGTGGTCACTCAGAGGTGTTGGGCGTAGAACTATGGTAAACACCTTGGGGTTCTTTGGTTCAACTGCTGACTTCCCTCGCTGACCATCACCAGGGGCCGCCGGAGCGGGCATGTTCTCTTTGTCCTTCTGTTCTGAGGTCTTTACTTTATCTAGGTCGCCTAGGTTCGCATCCGAGGAACCTTTTCCTTTTCCTGGGCTATTGCTTCGCGTTGGGAATGGCACGTAGGGCGATGGAGTGAGATAGGCATTGTAATTGTGGACAGAGAATGGAACCGGCTTGCCGATTGTGGAGTCTGCCCGACTTGGAGTCTGAGACTGAGCAGTAGATTTATGATCATGAACTTGAACAATCATGCAACCCTCATAGAACGGTACTTCTGTAAAGAATTCGACTAGATCATGGGGGATCGTACGTTGCTTGAGATGCTCGATCAAGATTTTCATGGGTGATTTGTATGAGAAACTGCCCTCCTGCTGATCGAACCGGAAGTGTGTGGAGTATAGATGGACGATTAACGAGGGTTTGCTGTTCCGGTGGCGCTTAAGGATATACTCGTCCGTTTTCACTGTGCATGTGTTAATCGAATATCCCATCTTGCACAAGGATCTCCATACCATAAGGTATAGGTTCAGCAGCTTGAGGAATCACAGATTCGCCTACGATACTGGCAGAACGTAGCCCAACGCTGCTGTTCCTCTGTCCTCTGCCCAACATTTGTCCCGGGGTCTCCCTCCTTGCTCTACTTGCTGATCGTACACCTGCGCTGGTATTCCCCGCGCCATTGCTTGTCGCAGAGTTTGGTGGCTTGCCGCTATGGGGAAGCCTACCGGTTGAAATAGAAGGCGATGGAGAGGATGTCGATGAATGTATGCCATTTGTCTGTATTCCAGGCGGAATGGGACGCTTCACTTTGGTTGGGAGCGACTGGACTGATGCCGCCGAAGGTGCCATGTTCCCTATCCTACACCAGCCAGGAAAAGCCCTACCACCTATCGACGTCCGTCGTCGTCCGCCGCCGTTGTCGCGTCACACCGCGCACAGTGCTGGCCGCTCTCCTTCGCTATCGCAGACTCCAAGTTACTCTATCCATCTAATGCGACTGTCTGTTCTTTGTCCAGATGCGAGATCGCCCAGGCGTCTAATCGAGCCAGGTGACGCAGGCGGGTTTTGATATCGTGAGGGCCGTGTAAGGCGACAAAAGCGATGATGAGATTCTGTAGCGTGTGAGATGCGATCGGCTTCTTAACGTAAGTAATTGATGGATTGATGCTGACTTCTCGTCATTTAGAGATGCCAAACGTTCATGTGGGGAGGTTCGGCGGTAGATCGTCCTGGAATGATTGGCTCGTTTAGCAAGGCGATAGTATCATCATAGTTCGTGGATCTATCCGCTCTTGGGTTTATATCCAACCTCGCCAACAGGAACCACACCAGGTTCACATCATCACCCAAAGGTATAGTGATTTATTCAGCCTTGTGCTATGATCATACACATGTTACTTCTTACACTCCCTCGTCGACGACAGCTTTGATCAAAACAAACGCGTGTGCTTTGCTCTTGTCTATGATCTACCATCATTGGAAATATTACGCCAGCTAATGGTAGTGAGACTCGTCGGATTATTTGATGCCCTGAACGCGGCTGCGAGCCCGGAAGAGGGTAATTATCGATGTGAGCCTCTCGCCGTCGGTTACTTCTCCTACATCATAAAGCCTTCCAATCCTTCTATTACTAGTATCAACCGTGCCCTACCTAAGGAGGAGTAATACCCATTACTAGGCAAAATCAGACTCATCGGTAGACGTTGTGTCGTTTGGTTAATATAAGAGGTAGGAAGCAAGAGTCTGTCAGGCTCAAAGTGGAGGGGCGCTAGCGCGCCAGCCTTCAAGTTCCTATTGTTTCACTAACCTTCAACTATCTCCTCCAAACAGCTTCATGCTCCTAAATAGCACACCATGGCAGATACTTTTCAAAGTGGTGGTAGGTTTTTATTAGAGAGCCTATCCTAAGACTCTATAGTCTTAAAACAATAACCCAGGAGCGTTGAGAGTCCGTTCATCGGGTACTAGTGGGCAGACTTCTTCGTCCCGAGTCAAGTACCATCTCGCCCGGTTCCACTCATGCTCTGATTGCCCTAGTAAGAGCTACTTGGCTTGCAGACGCAGCAGTGAGTTCTCTACTCTGATCACAGAGTTTTCCAGCCAGCTCCAATCTATTCTCGTGCCTTGGTCACCGTTATCTTCTTAGTTGGCGCTGCTTCCCTCATGGACCCTTCCTTCAAACCCGAAGCAGGGCATGCCAGTTGGCAGATGGAAAGGCGGAAATGTCGTTTATGCTTGCTGTCGCTGCCGAAATGATGTCGTTAGAAAACGAGGTCTTAACTTACGCGACTCTGGCATATTCGTAAAAGCTAATATTGCATTCGGTAGACAAGGGGTGCAACAGAATATCCGGGGTTTCTAGAGAGGGTGGCTATGATGTGAGTGGCTTCAGAATTCTTTGAATGTGAAAACTGAAAAGGAGCGCGACTGTGGAGATACAGTGGAAGATTCGAAGTAGGTTCTTCATAGTCATGTTCATTTTGCTAAACTCACAATCTTGCCATTCGAAATTGCGGGTTTCTAGTGGGAAAGGAAAACACAGTCATGAAATTCGTTCAGCTTTTCGCGGGGGGAGTAAGTAGCCTCTATCAAATTTCAAGCCTGGTTTCTACTCTTTATCCACTGGTTTCACTAGCTAGCCCGGCTGTCAATCAGGTTGAAATAGGCGGTGGCATGACTATATACTTCGTCCCCTCAGACTTTGAGCGCAAATATGGAGTAAGGACTGGAGGAGAAATACGTTTCGCAGCAAAACGGCCAGAGTGGTTAACTCTATCTGATAACCATCAGACCGAAGTCGAGTACCCCAGGTCTTCAGTTGCAACTGCTCCTGATCAAATACTTGACGACTATCTAAGCCGTGTTCCATTGGAAAATGACTGCAAAGGAAAATTGGTTGAAGATCTTCATGATAAGTATCTGCTCTTCACCGCATAAACCTCTCCAGCAAGACGTGAGGCTGAATGGCTTCTATACTCCAAGTGCGGCTACCCTAGGCGGGAACCAAAATAAGGTTCTCAAATCCTTGAACTCTTTCTAATTTTGGCGTGGCAGTAGTTGGGTCGAGAGGTTCGGATCCAAGGTTGGTAACTATCTGTTACTCATGATCGACGGTCTAGAAATCTGCATCCATGGTGAGCTGCCGAGGCACTACGATACGGGACAAGTACAGAACTGATCTAGCTGTCATGCAATGCTTTTCCCGCCATATCCTAGCGAAACCCCATATTTCTTCCAGACTTCTGGCAGGTGTGATATGTGAGACCTCCCAGGGTATTAATTTCTCCTCGGGGGGGTTTTCTGTCGAGACCAGGCTCAACCCCAATTTGGATTTAGAGACGGCTCTCGGTACCATACCGCGTGCAAGCGATCCAGCTTTAGTGGCCGAAAGAAGGAGAGTTAATAAAAGAACAATATATGAAGTTGCCCAGGGCCTTGGATCTTGGAAATTCAAGGTTACCCACTCAATCTTAACACCTGTTCCCCGAACGTCTGCCGAGTAGTGGTAGTGGTAAGTGATATTGTCTCTCCATACCAATGGGCGGTTGGGAACCAATTGCTAGCCCAGATCTCGTAACTGCAACTCGTAACCCGATCGATGGCCACCACCACAAGGCAGCAGTCTTAATCCCCTGCAAGTCGCTGCTGTCCGACGCCAGAAAACGCCTACTCCGTAAAATGCGCACGATTGCAGGGGAGAACCTCGTTAACGGCTCAACCCCTACACTTCTAGGAGGCGTCTCAAATGCTTACGGAGAACATGGCTTACAAGATAAGCTACAAATAACTTCGACTATGCAGGAGTTTATTTCTCAGATCTAGAACGAAGTACACTAATAAAACGAAGTTAACCTTAATATATAAACCTATTCTTGACTTATGCAATCTCTACGAAGTAGATTGTATACTATCATTACTTGAAAGATAGATAATCTTCTAACGAGATAGGTTAGGTCCTACTAGTCGTAATTTTATATATATATTGTACAAGTGTAGCCACTTAATAATACATAAGACATCCAGCGGGAGCCCGCTGGGAGGCTCGAACCTTACCACTTTTAGTTACCATGGGACCAGGAACAGGGTGGGGATGATTAAGAGGGTTAGTAAGGGGGATAAAAGGGGGGGTTATCACGTGGCTATAGCTATAATTAGGCTACGAGGGCCTCTTCCCGCTTAGCAAGTTGACAGACGCCCAAGAGTCCAAGGGCTTCCCCTTCCTTTCTCATTTAGCGGTTCACTCCACCACCCGGCTATTTGAGCCTACCTATATCAACCGTCGTGCTATTGCTCCTCGCTCGTCTGTTGCACGATTTTTCGCGCAGCTTTACCTTGGTGAACCAATCGGCTTGTACACCATGTCTACAGCTCGCAGAAATGCAGGCTTGGATTTGCAAAATCTCCAAGAGAGCCGTCCAAAAGGAGAGAAACCAGTCGACGAAGAGATGCTTGGCTGTCGGCACCAACCCTCCGGCAGCGATGCCCCCATGCCCTTCCTACTACGTACGGCATAGCACGAAGTATAGTACATATCCTAGCCAGCAACGCTTCTGTTCAATATATCGGCGGCGCGGAGGAAACGGCCCAAGATCATCCGGCCGCCGCAAGGACAATATTTCTTACAAGCCAAGAAAGGAACGGTACAGAGTAAGAAAGCACCAAGCACGGGGGCAGGGGAGCAAACAGGACAAGTAACTGCGTGGCTTGAGCTGGGTTCGACGAATCGGCCGGATTCCAGCTTTTAGATTATCGATATGATATGCGTGTCACAGGGCTTTAATTGCCCTCTCCCGCGTCCTCGAGCCTCCAGACAATTGAATCACGACTCAATTGAATTGTGTGTCTACACCTTTCTATTCACTCACAGCTGTTTTCCAGAAATGCCCTGCTTCTGAATTTGCTTGCTTAAGATATCTTCCCCTTCCTACGTCTCGTCACCTCCACACACTTAAACTAAACCGCTGGCCAACTGTTTCGTAACGAATATCTTCTTCTAAACAGATCTCAGCCTTCAAAACAGCGCAAAGACAGCATGAACCTCCCGAAGCTTGCATTCCTGGTAGGCGCAGCATGTCTCAACATTGCAAATGCTCAAGTGACTTCTGATACATTATGGTTCCTACCCGGAGTCCCAATTACCAGAGTACGTTTGCCGCAAACCGGAGAGCAAACCAGCTTCAAAAAATCTCACAAATCTTTAGTACGCAGCCACAGTGGTAGTACCAGCTGTATCACCAGGTCCCGGTTATCACGCAGTCTGGCCAGGTCTAGAGAACAACAACGCCGGGTTTGTGTATCAGAGCGTGATCAGCGACTCGAAGGGGGTGGGCTCATGGCAATTCTGGGTTGAGTATTGCTGCAAGTAAGGATATCTACGCTCTCGATGAAGCGCCCATATGAATTTTGCATCAGCTGACTTTCATATAAAGTCCGGACTATAAGGCCAATTCTATCAAAGGTTAGCTGCCGGGATATAAATTTTCGAGTTGCACAAGATGCTTTACGCTAACTGTTTTCAGTTTACCCTGGCGATACCATCACCAGTGTTTTTACCGTAGATGGCGGTGGCATTTGGACTGACGCATGGTCTCTCGTTCCTGGTGCTACCGGCCTGGCAGCTGGGCAAAAGGCACAGAGTGGTTCAACATCTAACAATTTTGGTAAAGTTCCTTCACTTTGGAAAACCAAAAAACACTACTAACAGCGTTGGTAGATTCCCAAGGCGCTTTAACACAAGTACACGGCCCACTCCAATTCACCTTACATGATAATGACTAATAAAACCACAGGCTGTGCTCGCCATCGAGTTACAAAAGGGTGGAAAGTGGGACTTTGGCCCGATCCAATGGAGCAACATAGCTATCACGGCCTCGACAACTACCTCCTGGTGCGCTGACAGGTAAGTGCCCAATTTATCTTTCCTGCTATTGATCATTATGTATAATAGCTAATCAAAATACAGCTACGCCGTCATGCCTGAATTCCAATATTCCATCTCAGGCGGAACTTCCTCGACATCCGGAGGCTCCACCACCTGTTCATACCCAAGCGTACTCTTCAAGAGCCCTTGACTCATATCGCTTCAGCAAGATCTCACGCTGATGAAGCGATAGACAGCAGAGAGCATCCTGCACCGTCCAACCAATTTTAGACATTACTTTGCTTTACGATGAGAGCAATAAGACTTAGTCTTTTCATATAGGCGTTGGTTTAGCAAATAGATAGCGTCACGGCGATGTCTTTCTTCGGGAAGCCACAAATGAAATGAAATCAAGAGCAATGTGTATGACTTCACCGGATGATCCAAGCATACTTGTGATTTGCAACGGAGCCTTTTTGGAAGTCAACCAAATAACACTTATCTAACATGGTTTTGCCAGTCAGCCATCTCTGCACATAACCCCTCCATGCCCCACTAGAATTAAAACATCATCAGCACGCTTGATGAGAAGTGCCCTTACGGTATCATGAAATGATCTCTATGTGGCATATAGATTTTTAGTGATCGCTCGGGGGTCTTCGGAGTTAAGGCCAGGCTCGGAGAAAGGGCCTCGCAAAGTCCAAAGTCCGCGACAAGTAGAAATGGAAGTTCTTAGTCGCAGTTCGGGACAACTATCTCTGCGACGGAAACCTGACTATGTGATTATCAAAATCTTATCCTGGAGTATGTGATTCAATTGCATACTCTGTATATTCGAGTGTTTATATGAAAGCTGCAACACCCACATTCTAGATATCAAGAGCAAAAAGAAGCTGCGAGATAAAAGACATATTCATCAATGGCTGCCGCTCAAGAGCTTCCCCAAACCCACCGGGCCCTAATCTTAACATCTACCACTGCGCCTCCAGAGATCAAAACCATCCCCACCCCCCACGCCGTTCCTGGAAGTGTGGTCGTCCGCATGCAAGTTTGCAACGTAGTAAGCTACGCCAGCAAAATCTATAATGGGACCCTCAATTTCCCCCTCCTAATACCATCAGTGATAGGATCCAGCGGAATAGGCCGAATCGTTACCGTCGGACCAGATGCCACGTCATTGAAGCCAGGCCAACTAGTATTAGTGGATTCCTTTATCCGTGCCCGTGACAACCCATCCGTTGCATTCTTGTTGGGCATTCATGAGGGCTTCTCAGATGGAAGCAGGGTCCTAGCAAGAGGGGAGTGGAGGGATGCTACTTATGCTGAATACGCAAAACTACCTCTGGAGAACTGCTATCCACTTGACGAAAGCAAACTGCTCTCCCACGGTTTGGGGTATACAATTGAGGAGCTTGCAGATATCTCCCGCCTTGCGGTTCCCTATGGAGGACTAGCAGACATCGATATCAAAGCCGGCGAGACGGTGATCGTCGCCCCAGCTACGGGGCCCTTTGGCGGCGCCGCAGTCCGAGTCGCGCTTGCGATGGGAGCCAGAGTCATTGCTATGGGACGCAATGCCGAGGTTCTGAAACGGATAAAGGAGAACAATGAGAGGGTGGAGGTTGTTCCAATTACGGGAGATGCCGAAGGGGATTTGAAAGCTCTAAAGCAATTCGGGCCTATTGACGCGTATTTTGACATCTCGCCTCCCGCAGCAGCTGAGAGCACGCATCTGAGGAGCGCTATGCTTGCGCTTGAGCATGGCGGTCGGGTGTCACTGATGGGCGGGATTCGGAGCGATATATCGATTCCGCATGCATTGGTTGTACACCAGGAGTTGCAACTGAAGGGGAAGTGGATGTACAGTCGGGAACAGATGAGAGGGCTGATTAAGATGGTAGAGGGAGGAATATTGAAGATTGGCAGTGGAAGTGGGAGGATTGTTCAGAAGTTCGCCTTGGAGGATTGGCATAAGGCTTTTGAGGCCGCGGAGGGAACCCTAGGGACGGAGAAACTGGCTATAATTCTGCCTTGAGATTTATATGATTAGCATTGGATTGGATGGAGAAAACGGGGAGTCGAGGTGATGGTAGGGGGGTTTAAATAGCCTACTCAGCAATTGGAATAGGTCGTACGAAGTAGCCATATACCTAACTATGTCTTCAAAGGATTGGTTCAGCTTGCTTGCTCAGCCTCTGGGCTGCTTTGAAAGGAAGGATGGAGGAATGAGGATTGAGGAACGAGGAATGGGGAATGAGGAACGCGGGATTGGGCAAGAATAGCGAGTGAATAAATAGCATATTAATGCCGATGAGCCTCTGATCCTCCGGCAGTGCTTCGTAGGTGCAGTGTTACTTGTCCTGTACTGTTACCGTGCATCAGCCTCCTTTTCCTTATCTTCGTGCAGCTCTGGCCGCCCCGAAGCACAAAAAGCAATGCGAAGACCGCTCTCGCCCTGGTGGACGTTGGTCCAGGCGGTGTAACCCCAAGGAGTATAGTTGCCGTGTCCTCGCCCGCTTCAAACTGCTCGCAGGCAATATCTCTTCACCCCACCAGCAAAACCACACCGCACGTTCTCCGGGTTTAAATCAAGATAGGGATCGACCCTCTGCCTCTGCTAAGCTTGAAACCGTGGGCCATGTCTACCAGCGACCCCCTCCGCGATCCTCACGCTCGCCCTCACCATGTCACCAAAGCTTCATATTCCGACCGAGCAACGGACGCCGCCCACCCCCTCTCCGCCTACCTCCTCCGGCTCATGACCCTCAAGAAGTCGAATTTGTGCTTGAGCGCGGATGTGTCGACGACAAACCAGCTGCTGTATTTAGCAAATGCCGTGGGCCCCTCGATCGTGGTCCTCAAAACCCACTACGACCTGATTAGCAACTGGGACTACAATCCCACCACGGGCACTGGGGCGCGCCTCGCAAGACTCGCCCGGCGCCATGGCTTCCTCGTCTTCGAGGACCGCAAGTTCGGCGACATAGGCAACACGGTGCAGCTACAATACACAGAAGGCACAGCCAAGATCATCGAATGGTCACACATCACAAATGTGAATATGGTACCTGGAAAAGCAGCGGTGGACGCTCTAGCTGAAGCCGCTATGAAATGGCGCGAGCGCAAACGGTACCAGGTGAAGACGGACATATCGGTCGGTACGCCGCGCTCAGGGAGCGTGAACTCGGATGATGAGGAGGAGGATGATACCGTGACGCCCATGCCTGAAACTAATGGCCTAGATGTTGGCCAGTCCTCAAATTACGGACGGAAAGCGAGCATTGTATCCATTACTACCGTATCCCAACACTTTGAGCCCATAAACTCGCCACGATTAAGCGAGGACCTGGAAGAGGAATCCTTCCTAGGGATCGAGGAGGCGCCTATGGAGAGAGGTCTCCTGATACTGGCGCAGATGTCAAGTAAGGGCAATTTCATGAACAGGGAATATACGGATGCGTGTGTGGAGAGCGCGAGGGAACACAAGGACTTTGTTATGGGGTTTGTGGCACAGGAGTCGTTGAATACACAGTCGGATGATCAGTTTATCAACATGACGCCGGGGTGCCAATTACCACCTGAGCAGGAGGACGAGGATGCGGAGATTCAGGGCGATGGGAAGGGCCAACAATACAACACCCCACAGAAAATCATCGGTCTGAAAGGAAACGATATTGTTATTGTAGGCAGGGGAATTATCAAATCTGAAGATCCTGTACGGGAAGCAGAGAGATACAGAAAGAAAGCATGGGAGGCATACGAAGAGAGGATCGCTTCTTCCTAAGGACGCTAGTGATTATTCGGAATTTTACCTACTGTAAAGTGTGCCCGGAAGAGATGGAAAATCTACCTCGTACAGAGGGGGTGCTTTTGAAAATGGGCTAGAAAAGTGTAACATTGGGATGGAGATATGGCGAAAAAGGCGTAGATACCCCAAACCCGGAGGACAACATCTCTGTCGAATTATTTCATTTTCCCCCTACGGTACATGGGATTGGGCACATGAAGAGCGGATATTCTTTCACCCTGCTCTGATGTCTGATAGCAATGAGAGGACATTTGAGGTGGGTTTTTTAATCTTTAGGATTAATTAATATTATTCAATCCTTAAATGACAAGTACAACTATATTCCTTCCTTTTTATACTAATATTAGGCATCGTATTATTAGCGGTTAATTTAATTTTTGCTCATCTTCATCCTTATCGAGAACAGTATAGGTACCGAATCCAATGTTGATGAAGAATAGTGTTAGTCTGCGCTTCGAAATTACGATTGATGTGCCCTAGGAAAAGAACAGGAGGATTAATGTAGAATATGGTTTTGATTATATAGCGAGTAGAGGAGGTCTTTGGGAACGCTTGTTGAGTCTCCTACACGTGATACGAAATTGTGAGCTTTCAGCTCTTGGTATCTAGTATCTAGTATCAATATATATCAAAATGAGCAGAATCCCCTTAACAACTGGAGATAAGAGACTAGGAAGCGTTGCTGTAATGGTTAAAAGCCACCGCTAACAAACCTAGCGTGACCCTGGACGCTCCGCTAGAGATAACAAGAGACAAGAGGCTAGGGGGTAGTACAGCTCGAGTTTCTCGGTATCCAACGCTCCGTGACGATATTTCTTTTGCTATTTTTCTTTAATTGTTTCTATTCTTTTGGGGTGTCGTTAGCTCGCTTGTTGTGCTCAAGCAGGTGGCAGCAAGGCCAGGTGGGCAAATATATTTTATCAGTGGTCGTTGATGATTCCAGCAAGTGAGCAAATACACCACTTAGTATTTTTGGGGGGGTTGTATACTCGAGAGCATCAAATATTAGTTTGAGTTCCTGAGTTCAATGATGTTTTTGATAACAACGGATATGACCTACCTAAAATATAAAGGAACATAATGATCCTCTGAAATGACATAATGATGAGGGGGAAAATAAAAAGGGGATGTAGCTCGTACCACAAATCAAGGCCGTTAGAAGGGCTAATTCTTGCAATGCCTCAACTTTGCCAAGAACTTTGCTCTAATACTAAGAAGTGAGGTTTGGGAATACAGTTGTGTTTTGTAACAATGATATATTTTCCAAAATTCTACTAAGAGCGTGAAATTGCTATGTGAGGTCGATTAGATCAGCACACGGCCTAGGGCCGCGATTAGTTAGCAGGTCTTTCGCTCCTTCTCCTTTCTTTTATACCTACCTACCAGGTACGACTGTCGGGTAGGATTTGCCATAATCGTGGCGTCCGTCGCTACGCTATGTAGTTTTGCACCACGTACATAAATGCAAACCACACCTAAATGCAAATAAAATCGGCATTTGGTGCGATTAATGGATTTTAATCCCCACCCACCTATTTAATAGGGAACTTATTTTAGCCAAATTGCAGATCTATAATCAATTATTATCTATTCTTTTAGGATCGTTTTCAAGTTGCGTGGTTGAT